GGAGGGGAAGACCCTCTATGAGATGGATTGATTCGGTGACTGGGGTAAATCGGGATGGGTGTGTCAGAGGCAGTGCGGTTGGCGCAGGATAAAGCAGGGTTTAGGGCTGTTGTGCATAGGGTCGCTATGAGTTGAAAACGACTCGACGGCACATAACAACAACAACAACTACTAAAACCTGTCCACCATACATAACGCTTGTTACACATTTAACAATGTGTGTGCCAAACGCCACTGAGCAGCATAGCAGGTGACAAAGGATGCAGAAAGTACACAGAGTGCATGTGAGAAAACCCTGACAGACTCAACCACGCCCTCTCACAGTTTGCTTCTCTCTGGGAATGTGAGTGGGCTCGTGGCTGGGGCTCTATGCTGCATGGAAGAGATACACATAGATGTGCTGTGGTTACTGTATGCTGCTGTGTTGTCTCTGACTCACAGGGGCCTGAGAGGACAGAAGAGGAGGGCCTCAGGGGTATCCCAGGCTGTAATCTCTAGGAGAAAGGGACACCCGGTCTTTTCTCCTGCAGAACAGCTGATGGGAACAAATTGCTAATCTGCTGGTTAGAGGCAAGAACTTAATCACCACACCACCCGAGCTCCTCAGATTAGCTACCAATAAAATTGGTAGTAATTTCACCACAGAATGAAATTATGAGGGTTCTATGCTATCCAATAAGATCACTATGATTTGGGGGGCTCTGTTATGTGAACAGATTTCAAAGTGACTTGGAGGAGTATAGTGGTAACAGCTGTGACTCTGGAAGCCTGTCACCTGGCTTTGAAGCCTGGATTCACTTACACTTATCTGGGCAAATTCCTTAACCTCTCAGTTCCCTCATCTGCAAACTGGCAATAATAGTCTTCATAGGATCATAAGTAGTCAATAAAGGAATATATACACACATTCAGTGCTTCAAGCATTGCCTGTCACATAAGAACAAGGAAATATTCGCTGGTATTGTTATCATCACCATCATCATCATTCTATGACTAAGGCCATGCCTTTGAAGAGCAAGGAAATGTGTAAAAGCAAACAGTTTCAGAGCTCTCCACAAGAGGGCAGTAGATCTACACCATGACTGATTTTGAGCCAAATTTACAGCTGCCCCAGAGTTCTTCAATACACGCTGGGCTGCTAACCAGATGCTCTGCAGTTTGAATCTACCAACTCTCCCCAGTGGGGTAAAAAGTGAGGCAGTCTCCTCCTCAAATCTCTACAGCATCAGAAACCCCATGGAGGTTCTCAATGGACTTGAGGGCAATGAGTTTGGGGTATTTTTTAAAGAGCTCTTAGAAAAGCCTGCCACTTGGGAAGAGCCACAGTACCCGGAGCATGACCATGTGCGACTCCAGCAAGATCTCTGGAAAACTGGGCTTCAGCACGTCCAGACTGATGTTCGGCACTGGAAAAAGAAATGACAGGGGGAGAGCCTTAGTCCCACATTCTAGCCTCCCACCTGCCTGTACGTACTCTCCACCAGGTCAGCACTAGCCTTCCTTGACCAATAGCCAGTGTAAGTGTTGAGGAGATGGATGAAAGCCTGGCCCAATCCTTGATCACCTCTTTCATCAAACAGACTCATCAGAAATACAGAGAAGACGGACGACAAGGCTTTCCCACCTTGGTCCCACAGCTAGCACACCTGCCACCATGGGGCTCACTGGCTGCTCGCCTGTGAGGGCAGGAACCAAGTCTACCTCAGTCAACAATACATCCCCATGGTCCTGCGTGGCCCACGGCACAGTCATTAAAGAGTTTTTTAGTTAGTTAACTAATTAGTTGGTTTGGCTAGATTAAGAGTAAGAAGAAGTACATAACTCGTAGACAAGGAAAGATCAACCATACAGAAGGGGTCAGTTGATAATATGACAGATGATGAATCCAAAGATTTATGCAGTTGATGACTCTGATACAGAAATGTCCAAGCAGAACCTGGTGAGCCCAGGTCAGATCGTGGCTGTGCATGCCGCTTTCTGCGGAAGTATTGGCTGGAGGTGGGGAGAGACAGAGATTTATCCAGAGCATAGAGGGAAATGCTGGCAGGAATCAACCCTTGGAGATGGGATGGGAATGGGGTTGAACCCATGAAGAGCATAGAAGAGCCCAGGCAGAAACAGGACAGATGGACCTGCATTCAGGTAACAAGGAGGAGAAGAATCAAATGTAGCAAAAGGCAGGCAAATGAGAAGAGAAAACCAGCCCAGGTCTCTCGTGAGGTCCTTGGTCACTTCAGGGACAAAGTAAAAGGGAAGGAAAAGGTGCCAGCTTGAGCTGTGAGAACAAACATACAGCCAGAGATTTAGACTCTCACAGTTCAGGGCAGGAGCCTAGAGTCCACATTCAGGGTGTTGACTCTAGGGAGAGGCTTTCTCTCTGTGTCTTGTGGCTCCAGGAGTTTCCCAGTGTAGGAACCTGGGTCCTAAGGTGTTGCATTCCACCCTGATGCCTCTTTACAAAGTCACTGCATTGTTACAGACACATATTTTGGAGGACACACAACTTAATCCATGACACTTAGGTACAGGTGGTTCAGATGAAGAGATTAAATTGAAGAGACAAAGAAGAAAATGGCAGCAATGAGAAAAAGAGGTCAGACTCTTCTAAAACATGAGTTCCTTCTACACGTTTTCCACCAATGTCAATGAAAGCCGTGATCTGACTCACATCTGGGATTAAAATGGTCCTCCACGTTCCAGATGGAGTTGAGGGTCTCCTTCAGGTACGGGGTGCAAGTAACTTCCAGCTGCTCCCAGCCCCTGTAAAAAGCAGTCACATGTTCCTCAGGAGACCTGAAGTCCACCAAGTGGGTTCTACAGCCCTCAATCCCATGGAACCTTTCTCTTTTCAACCCGGTGAGCCTTTTTTTTTTAAAAAAAACAACTTCACATTTGTATATTCTTTGACTGCCCCAGGGGTAGACTAGCATAATACATTCCCAATTTAGAAAGAAATGTGTTAAAACCATGCATTATTATCACAAACCAGATGTACCACTGTCAGAACACTTACACCACCAACGTTTCCCTGGAACTCTGAGCTCTGGACCTCTGATGACTTTTTACCTTCATCTAAGTACCAATTCAGAACAAACTAGCTATCTATCTACTAAGAAAAACACGAGGTGAACACTGATCACTGGGAAACACAAACTTCTGGTATATTCCTTAGAATGTAGACAGGACAAGTGTGAGCTTCTACTAGTACATCAAACCCCCAGAGACTTACCACTTGGGCAAGACCTTTCCTGAGGAGCCCAGGACACAACCTGTGGCCATATGGATGAAGCGAATCCGACTTCTCAGCACTTTGATCCGGTTTCCAAGTTTTCTGTTTACAACCTCAATCCGCCAGAAGTCATTGGAGTCCCCTGTCCCATTCTGCACAATAAAAGAGATGACTTTAGAGAAAAGATGTCAGAAGAAGCAGATGATGAAAGCGACACCTCTCAGATGCCACCATATTATAAAGGTCAAAGCAGCCTGAACCAGTCTCAACAAATGAGATGAAAAAGAAGAAGTTCGTATTAATATTCCAAGTAGTTAACAATACTGCCCCAGCACTATTATATCCAAGAAAAGCAGTGTAACTCTTATAGCCAGAAATCCAATTCTTTGTTTCCTAAGACTAGAACTTAAGTTCTAAACATGTTTCTGCCTTTAAATCGTTAAATGCAAGACAAGAGCTCATGTCAACAGAAATCAATCTGGGCCATCCAAGCCACAAAGCTCTAGTCTGGCTACTGGACTTAAAAAATGAAGGCTATTTTGTCTTATTCTCCTCAGCAGATGTATACAAGAAAAATATGGTTAAGTAAATTGAAAGAATGTTGGAAGATTCATTTCATGGAACCCAGAATCTTTGATGAAGCACTAAAACCTGTGGAAGGATGACTAAGAGTCAGAGATACAGTTTCCCACTAACTGCCATAAAATTACTCCTAAGTCATAAGTTCTTAGACAGCTTCCTTTACTAATTACAGCTCCCTAAGACAGTAAAAAGTCAAAATTCATGTAAAATAATACCCTCTACAGATAAAGGAAGTGATGCTTAAAAATAAAACAAATGATGCACTGCAATCCCAGAGGTACACGGTTCGAAACCACCAGATGCTGTGGAGGGGCGATCTCCTCCTGTACCAGTCAGATCCAGTTTGACAGTACACACACACACACACACACACACACACACACACACAAAATAATAAAAAAAATTTTTTTAAAAATTTAAAAAGAAAGCAAATGAAAATTTGGAATCTGGTAAAGGATAAACTTACATATTCATCTGGGGCCATAGGGGCCATATGGTGGGCCTTTCGCTTCTATGTCCAATGTGGCTTTTTTTTTTTAATTTATTTATTTAGGTGGGGTTTTTTTTCCTTGTTGTGTGACATCAAGTCTGATCCAACTGACACAGGAGGAGTTTATCCCTCCTTTTCCAGAGAAGCATCTGGTGGATTCAAACTGCGCGTCTTTGGGATTGCAGTGCAGCTTCTTGCCACTAGCCCACCAGAGCTCCTGTCCAATGTGACTTTAAAAGGAACCCAGATGATACTCACAGTTGACATTTATTTAGTGTTAGAATATATAAATGGTATAGTTACCATAGTTAGAATATATAAATGTCTGATAATGGGGACAAACAGATCTCTGGTTGTTTCTCCCACACCAGGCCTACCCAAAAAGCTTCCAGATGTTAGAGTTCCAGTGCAGGCTTTGATCCACAACATTCCAGAATTCTAGGGGAAATGTTCTTCCAGGACCTACAACTTTTTACATTTTGCTCACAGCCCAGCTGCTCACTTACTATGCCATAGCCAGTGACCTGATAGTGCTTCCGGGTCATTGGTGCCTCATGGTAGTGACTATGTAAATTCCGAGAAGTTCTGAAAGTTAGAGAGAAAGAAGTGATTCTCATGTTAAGTTAACCTCAAATGAGACACACAGTACTTCTACCAAGCATATTCATAGAAAGCTATCCAGCTGAGAAAAATGTAAAACTAAGCGATGAAACACAACATACTGGGAACTTTTTGCCTAATTACCCACAAAAAATATCCAGAGAACTAGTGAACGGTCCAAATCAGGAAGGACAGACAGAGGAAGGACCAGACTACATTCCAAGACAGGGACCTCGCTCAGGTGTTGGAGGTGGGGGTGAGTGGGGGCTTCCACACACTTGGGAGTTTTGAAATATTTAGCTAGTCCGACTGATGAGACAAGAGAAAAACTATTAAACTTTCTGATGTACATATGTCCTGAAGCAGGTAACCCTCCCATCACCTTTATTTTTTTAAAAGTGAAGATCTGTGACAGGAAGGTTTAATTTCTTTTTTATGCATTTAATTTTATAATAGATTACTTTTATCTATATTATATATGTAATGAATGTTCACTGTGAAATTTTTTGAAATGTATAATAGTAAACTGAATAGTAAACTTTTTTCTTAATAAAATATATTTGTTGTCATGTGCCTTCGAGTCAGAACCAACTCATAGTTGACTCTCCAGCGGGTTTGTAAATCACACGGGAAGAGACTGCCCATCTTTCTCCCTTGGAGCAGCTGGTGGATTCGAACTGCCTGACTTTGTGTTGACTATACAACTCTCTACCACCAGGCCAGCAGAGCTAACAACAAAATAAAATTAAACAGTTTCTATAATCCAGTTAGTTAGGGAAACTATTGCTTCTCTCTTTTTTATATAAACATCCATAATTGTTGACGTCTGCCCTGATAATCTTAGTGCAGGAAACCTCGTGGGGCTCCTTCCACTGCACATTGTTCCACGGCTTCTTGCACATGATGACCTACTTCCATGTGCACTGCGTTATTTTTTTACTATGTACTCTTCGCTGTGATGAAAACTATTTGTGGGGAAGGATGACAATATCTTCCCTGAAAGAGGATTTGCACTTGCTCTTAGCCAGACACTGAGAGATGCTGATAGTCTAGGATCATATCTATTTAAACATACAGCTTGAGAATCTCAACATCTAGATTATAAGAATTTAGGCTACAAATTACCGTGAGAATCAACTGGTGGCTATAACCTCTCAAGAACTAGGCACAGTCCCACCCCAACCTTGTCTCAGTACCAAAGTAGCCTTCCCTGGGGATAGGTGGATTTGAGTTCAACCTCACCTAAACATGGGGTTATTTGAGGTTCCAAACTTAGCAGATCATATTTAAATTTACCACTTTGGGTGAAGCTTGTACTTTAACTTTGAAATCCCTCCTTCTCAAGAGGGAATTAAAATCAAAGATCAAGACTCGAGCTGTGAAATCAGGACAAAAGTGCTTCCACTGTCCCATTTGTTTCCCTGGATTCTCACTTTCTCTTCAATTTTGGCATAGGAACTCTGTACTGGGAACTCCACATATTTCAGGAACCTGATGCTTTTAAGATGTTTTATATTATCTCAGCAATTTTAGCTAAAATAAGCAAACTGGCCATATTCTTGGAAAGAGACTCCCAGATCTTCCTAAAGGTATCCACTTGAGAAGCTCTAGTAAACTCATTTCTTTTTCTTTCTTCCTCTAGCAAAAGGAACATACTCACTTCTCCAGCCTCATAAAATGTGGCTCCTATTTAGCACAGCAGCTTGTTCTACTTATTAAATCTTCATTCAAATTTCAATTCTGTTCATCTCCAGCTTAAAAGAATTCCCTACCATTGGTGTCTGTTCCATTCATTTAGCCCAAACAGCAAATTTAATTACTCTTTGTGTTCTAGTCGAATGATGTCTCCATGTCTCACAAACTCCACTGGAAATGAAGGATCTAGCGGATCTGTCAAGAAGAAACAACCATTAGTATTTGAAATCATTCACCTATTAGCCTAGTATTAATTGAGGGCGTAATAGTACATAAGCAATTACAGTACAATGTTGTAGATGCTCCATGTACTAATAGAGTGCTCTGGGGCCAAAAGGAACTGCCTCAGAGCATTAGAAAGGGTGTTCCAGAGACGGTGTGTGAAACGACTCTTCAAGGATTTTGTCAGGTGAACAAGGAGGGCAAAGGCAGAGCTATGAAAGAACAAAATAACGGCAAACAGATTCGCAAGGCTCGCATGGGTAGGACAGGAAGGCGAGCAGGTACAGGAGATGAGGCTGCTGAATCACAAGCAGGGTCAGACTGTGGATGCTGCCAGGTGTGGGAAGACAGCCTTTATCGGACAGGTCCCGGAGTACCACCAGAGATTTTCAACATGGAGTCTAAATAACAAGATTTTCATTTTAGGAGTCAAACCAAAACTCACTTTATTGAGTGGAGTCTGATTCACAGCAACCCTCTGTCAGGTTTTGGAGGCTGAAAACTTTTACAGGAGGAGACCACCCACATTTCTCTTGCAGAGCAGCTGGTGGATTCGAACTACCAACCATTCAGTTGGCAGCCACCATGTTATGCACAATTTGACCAGGGCTCCTTTAGTAGTCATGCTGTTGCTGTTAGGTATTCAAGTCAACTACAACCCACGGCAACTATGAACAATGAGTCTACTCCCTGCCCTATCCTACGCCGCCGCCATCACCATCATCTCTGACACACTTGAGCCCATAATTACAGTCACTGGGTCAACCTATCTTGTTGAGAGTCTTCCACTCCTTCACTAACTCTCCACTTTTCCAAGCATGATGTCCTTTTCCAAGGACTGACCCCTCCTAATACCATGTCCAAAGTGAGACCAAGTTTCACCACTGTTCCCTCCAAAGAGCACCGTAGCTGCACTCTCCGCGACAGATCTGTTTGTTCTTTTGGTAATCCATGGGTTATTAGGTATTCTTCTCCAGCACCACAGTTCAAAGGCATCAATTCTTCCTCTGTCATCTTTATTCACCATCGAGCTCTCAGATGCACAGCAAGTAACTGAAAAGATCAAGGCTTAGATCAGGTATATTTTGGTCTTTAAAGTGACATCCCTGCTCGTTAGCACTTTGGAGAGGTGCCCGACTGCCCTTGATCTCCTGACTGCTGAAGAGTGTTGATTGGGAATCCAAGTTAAGATGAAATCATTGACAATTTCTATCTGTTCTCCATCTTTCATAATGTTGCCTATTTTCCCAGTGGTGAGTAACTTTGTATTCCTGATGTGGAGATGGAATTGATACTGAAGGCTGTAGTCTTTGATCTTCTGCAACAAGTGTTTCCAGCCCTCTACACTTTCAGTTAGCAAAGCTGTGTCATCTGCATAATACAGGTTGTTAGTTAGTCTCCCTCCAATCCTGATGCCACCTTCTTCCTCATAAAGCCTAGCTTCTTGAATAATTTGCTCAACATAGAGATCAAATAGCTATGCAGAAAGGAGATAGCTGTGATGTGCACATTTCTTGATCTTAAACCATGTGGTGTTTCCTTACTTTGTTTGCACAACAGCTTTTTGGTCAAGGTATAGATTTTGTCTGAGCACAATTAAGTGTTCTGGGATTCCCATTCTTCTCAATGTTAGCCATAATGTATTGTGATCCACACAATCAAATGTTTTTGTATGGCTGATAAAACAAAATCAGACATACTTCTAGTACTCTCTGCTTTCAGCCAAGATCCATCTGACATCAGCAATGATATCCCTGGTGCCATGGCCTCTTCTAAATCCAGTCTGAATTGCTGGTAGTTCTCTGCTGATGTACTGGTCTAGTTGGTTTTGAATAATCTTCAGCAAGATTTTACTCGCATGTGATATTGACAGTATTGTTTGATAATTCTCACAATCTGTTGGATCACCTTTGTTGGGAATGGGAACAAACAGAGATTTCTCCAGTCTGTTGGTCAGATAGCTAGCTTCCACATTTCTTGGCACAACCTGGTGAGCACATCTAGGACTGCATCTGCTTCCTGAAGCATTTCAACTGGTATTCCATCATTTCCTGGGGTTTTATTTTTTTGCCAATTCCTTCAATACAGTTTAAACGTCTTCCTTCATCGCCATTGATTCTTGACCATAGGCTACTTTCAGAAATGGTTCTGTGTCTGCCAATTCTTTCAAGCACAGAGATTCAGTGTATTCAGTTGTTATAATCTTCTAAAAAGGAATTCTGTGCAAGAAACCATTTGTTCAGTTAATTTAAAAGTCAAACAAATTCTGCAAACGTTGACAGGGATTATCTTGTTTTCAGCAGAGGACTTGCTAAAGTGTGAGACCAGGGATATGAGAAAACACAGGGAAAAAAACACAATAAAACCAAAAACCAAGACTACTTCAGTGTCATCTGGAAATCAGGGCCAATTAGGACCTAGAAGAATAATGACAAAAGAAAGGAGCTGACAGGAATCACAGCAACACAGAACGGATCTTTGCAAATTTCCAGTCTGAACAGAGAGACACTAACATTCTCTAAATAGATCAAGGTCAGGAAAAATCAATTTTCCAGCGCTGGTTCTCAGAAGAATGAGAAAACTCAACTATAAGAATGTCCATTCCTCTGTTGCTATTGAAGTCTTCTTAAAAAGCTTAATTAGCAAGATGGCAAATAAGTAATGTTAACAGAAAAGAACATTTTTTTAATATAGCTTTCTCTGGGGGGTTTATGTAGCTTTTTAATATAGTTTTTTGGGATTGGTTGTGAGTCAAGTCTCATAGCAAACAAAAATACAAACACCTAAGTCTTAAGTTTTCACATCCTAAATTTTTTGGAAAATGTGCCTTCACACAAATCCTCAGTTCTTCAGTTAAAATATAACCATCTTAATGTGGAAGGCACATGAAATAACAGACTATATATGTTTGACAGACTACTTATGCTTGGTCTCATGGATCAAAATGTAATTAATGTAATATTACTGACAGACTTCCCAATGAAGTCATAATTTATATCATCAAGGAGAAGGAGGTAAAGACAGTGACTGTGACACATTTCTAATCTAAAAATCAATAAGAGAACCTGGGAAAAGGAACAAAAAAGATTCACGTGGCTGTGTGGAGTTGATCCAGGGCAGGATTCCCAGGTGGCGTCCCAGAGACTACCTGTGGCACAGGACAATCAGCAGTGGCATGGGAAGATGAGCAAAAAATGCCCTCTGTTGCCTCAGCTGCAGCAGAAGGAACAAACAGCCAGCTGCTAGCTAGCTAGCTGTCTGACCAAAGAAAGATCTTGAAGGCCTTAGCATCAAGCCTTAAGAGCCTCGACAGGTGTAGTTCAGGGCACCTTTGCCCAAGTCAGTTAGAGGCAGCTGAGCAGACGTTCAAGGGAGGTAGCAAGCAGTAGCCTAGCCACAGGGCTGGCAACTCTTTCAGATCTTCAACTGTCCTAGTCTGGGGATGGCCAGTGGGCAGCACCTGTCTTATCAAGATAACAAGCCACAGCTCACGCTGCAACCTGCAAGGCTTAATGTTCTCCATTAGAAATGAGACCAGTTACCGTGTGCCCTCAGTTGAGACTATTCACCAGCCCTGCCACCATGTCCAGGAAACATTTTCCAGCCTCAGCCCTGCTGCTTGGTTTTAAAATGACAGTTTTAAGAGTGAAATTGCATCTATTTTGCTCACTGCTTATCCTCTATGCCTGTAACAGGGCCTGGGACATAGTAAGTACTAACACATAACTACTGAAAGGGTGATTGTGATTGGTGAAAATGTAAAGAGGGGAAAAAGAATGCTCAGGAAATCCTATCATGGTATTATTCCTTTGGAGACATAAGACATATCAGGAAGGGCTCAGAGTAAGAACACAGAAAGTACCAGTCCTCCCTCCACTGCATTACCTGAGTTTGTATTATGTTTCTTGATAATCCACAGGTTGTTGTAGTCCTTGTGCAAATAGGTGGTGACCTGGGGGAGGTGAAGGTGGGAGGGAGAAGACTGTAACTATCAGCACAGCTGGCACGAGACAATGAGCCGCAAACCAACACTGTCCAAGGCTTTTGGGATGCCCAGCCACTAGGCCTAAGGGGCCCCTCTTTCTCAATGGGGAGCAGAAGCATCACTGGAGAATGGGACGTGCCCCTTCCTTTTACATTTGGAGACCTATCCACACTGAACTGTTTCAGTCTGTCTCTTCGTCTCTTTCTGCATTGTGCTTTTAAGGGCTTCTGAGTTTGGTGTGATGGAAAGCTTTCAGAAATGTACAGTGATGACAGTTGCACAAAACAGTAACTGTAATTAATGTCATTAACTTGTACATCTAGAAGTGAGTGGTTAAAAAGGTTATTTTTAAAATTTTATATATTTTACAATAAAATTGAAAAAAGTAGTAACAATGAAAGTCATCCTCACCTTATGATAGGTTCTACTCCAACAACACGTCGTAAGTCAGTTTTGACATAAGTCAAATGCCTCATGGTATTTTCATTATTATTACTTTTTTATTATTTTCATCTTTATAAATCCAATTTTTGTCTTTGGAAGTTTGACATAATGTATACAAACTTAGGTATATTTTCATATATTACTAGCAGTAAGATGTACCCAAAAAAGACAGTCATGAGGGCACTTCAAACCTGTATGCAAGAAGCTATAAAGTTTTGAGGGCATAGAGAAAAATTAAGTCCACATCCCTCAGCAGAAGTGAGCTAGAATCCATCTACTTGGATTTGCTCAAGGATGTTATGGTTTCGTGGTGTTCACATGCAGAGAGTGTGTGTGTGTGTGTGTGTGTGTGTGTGTGTGTGTACATGTGGTTTAAAAACAAAAACCATTATGATTATCATTAAGATTCCTACAGACACAACTTTTTTTTTTAAATTGTGGGTATGGTCCATGGCCCTTTTTCATACTGAAAGATCTGTTTTTAAGTTGGATTTTTTTTAGTAACAAGAGGTTCCCCAGGAATGCAGGTATCCTGTTGTTGCAGAGTATTAAACACAAAATAGGGAACCAAACTCTAATCTTCTGGGATTATTTTCATTTTTATATTTTATAAATGTTATGTCTCAAAAAGCAGTCTTTGTAGCACTGGGGTTAAGGAGTTAGCTGCTAACTGAAAGGTCAGTGGTTCGAACCCAGCAGCTGCACCCTGGGGAAGGTGTGGCAGCCTCCTTCCTTAGAGACGTCTTGTTGTTAGTGCTCCTGGGTTGACTCCGACTCACAGAAATCCCACGTACAACAGAACGAAAGCCTGCCCAAGCCTGCGCCAGCCCCACAGTCTCTGCTGCGCCAGGAAACCTGGGGGGCAAGTCCACTCTTATCAGACAGGGTCTCTGTGAGATGGAATGGACTTGATAGCAATGGGTTTAGGTTATGTTTCAAAAAACAGCTGCAAATAGAAACCTAGAAATGCTAATAAGACATTCAACTGCAGGCCAGGGAGAACTCCGGGGTCAAAGTCACTTGACCAGAGTAAAAATCTTATTCTACAGAAGGAAAAGCAGGCTGAGAAAGGCTAAGTGATTCAGTCAATGACAAAGCCAGACACTTTTGCCCCTTGGCCCCTGAGCTCACTCTATCCCACCACCATGTTTTCCAGTCTTTACACGCAGGCTGAAAGGATTTAGTACTTTGTTATTGTTCTTAGGTGCCATCAGGCTAATGCTGACGCACAGCCATACACAACCAGGCCCTGCCAAACTCTGCCTGGCCCTGTACCATCCTCATTATCATCGCTGTGTGAGCCACTGCCACAGCCACGGTGCCAATCCATCTTGTGAGGAGTCTTCCCCAGAGTAAGTAACATATAAGCATATGACACTAAGAGGACCTTTATACAGTCTTCAGAATATAGCCATTCTCTCTCTCTGCATAGTAGAGAATGGTCACTCCATCTGCACTTTACTGCAGAACGCTATACAGAAAAACACAGGACAAATGTATTGTTGTGGGCCATCAAATCTGAACCAACTCACAGGTGACCCTCCAGAGGATTTTCAGACGCTATAACCACACAGAGGGAGACTGCCCATCTTCTCCCTGTGAAGGATCTGGTAAATTTGCACTGTCTGCCGTTGCGTTAGCAGCACAACTCCTTACCACTCGGCAATGAGAGCTCCATAGATTACTTACCATCACACCACACCTGTGGCCGAGTATCACTATGGCATGGCTGATGTGGCTCTCCCTACTGGCTATAGATTAGAATCATCGGGACAACTTAAAACCAAATTTTAAAACTGCACAAGGCATGAGCTCTGTCCTAGATCTTGAACCTGGATCTGAGTGGTGGGTCTCAGACACTAGAATAGTTTAAAATCTATACGGCAAAATCTAAAGTGGATCCAAAGCTGAGAACCATGGAACCAGAGGCATGTGAAGAATGGAGGGCAAGAAACTGATACCAAAACCTGATCTCCTGAATTAACTTTCTTTTTTCTTCCTCCTTTCTTTTGTAAATAAACTTTATTTCTTAAATTAGTTTAAGGTTAGGGGAGCTCTGGTGGCCTAGTGGCAAGAAGCTGTATTGCAATCCCAGAGGTACATGGCTCAAATCCACCAGATGTTCTGCCAGAGAAGGTGGGACAATTTCCTCCTGTACCAGTCAGATCTGATTTGACGGTACATGCACAAAAAATAATAAAAGAAAAAAATTAGTTTAAGGTTTAGAGAAAAGTATGCAACAAGCCCTGAGTTTCCACATACTCACCTCTAACTTACATATTGTTTAGATTAAATTTCTAGTAACTAAAAAGGACATAATTATCAAGCATTTAGAGAAATGAAATTTTTTATGACATAGAGAAATGATTCATTTTGCAACAAGACTCAAAACTCAGACTCATTGCTGCTGAGTTGGAACTAACTCATAGCTGACCCTTCAGCAGGTTTTCAAAGGCTGTAAATCACATGGGAAGAGACTGCTGGTGGATTTGAACTAACAGCAAAGTACTGCCTTTGGGCTAGTAGTGCAGTTCCCTATGGACAAGGCCACCAGAGGTCCCTCGAGGGATAAGAGACACCTCACTCCAAACTCTCACAGTAACTGCTTCCCCTGTGCCCCCTCTGCCTCCTCACCTCCACTTAGTCTAAGTCGCTGAGCAAGGACTTCGGTCCTGACCAGTCCACTGAAAGAATCTGTCAGAGCCATCGAGCCGCCTACTTTGCTCTGTTTAAAGGCTAGTTAGCAATTCTTGCCTCCTCTGAAATCTCTGCAGGTTGACTACCTGCGACAATCCCATCCCTCCAGAGCTGATGCTCTCCCCTTGGACTCGCCCCTCCTTTCTTCTCAGCCTTATATTAGAGCTGGAGCTCTGTACATCACACGTTTCCCTCAACGCCAGCGGTCTGCAGGGTTCCTCCACTGGCCTCCTCCCTCTGCACTCCCTCTGTGGGCAAGGCCACTCATACCTGTGCATCACTGACACACACACACACGACACACTCCAACCTCTCTCCTGAGCCAAGCTCCACACCTAAAACGTACCAGGGGAAACGCTCCTTTCCCCTCTCCAACGCTGTAGTTCTAATCGTGGTGTAGCAGCATTACTGCACGCATGCCCTGACAACTCGATGGGAGGGCTGGACATCGCTCACCCCGACAGGCGCCAGCGAGGTGGTCCCGACATTCCCCGGTGCTGTGTTCTCACATTAGCATGTTCCGCTACGGTCTGTGTCCCTGTTCAGGCCCTCGCCATCTTTTGTCAGGATTATTGCCAACACGCACGTAACCAGCTCCTTGCCTCCAGCCCATCCATCCCTTCAATCCATTCCCGGGCTCTTTCTGGAGTTCTCTTTCTAAAACACAGATCTAATCACATCCTTTTATCACTTAACAAGTCTCAGTGGTTCAATGTCTACTGAACAGTTACATTTACTGTAACCTAAGATCCCTCCACAAACTGGTCACCCCAACTTCTCCAGCATCCTGCTTCGTCCTCTCAGACAACTTCCACAACAGACACAACTCAAAATAGTCATGGATTAATGTGGATACAGTGTTATTTATTCATCCTGATAAAACTTACAGCTCACCCTCAGATATGCACTTTTTATTATCTCAGTCAATCTTCACAACCACCCAATGGGGAAAAAGATACTTTATCTTTCCCCCAGTTTAAAGGAAACTTAAAAAAAGAAAAGAAAAGAAACTGAAGGACATGTAGGTTATGACTTTCCCAAAGTCATGCTTGTGCAAAGACAGGACTTGGGATAATGTAGTCAGGTTTCTAGTCTGCGTTTAGTAACACCCGTTACTGATCAGCCAGTGTTCCAGGCACTGTGCTAGACACATGAGCTTGTCAGGAGCTACCAGTCAAGTAGCAAAGAGACACGAGGGTGCAAAAGGTAACCACACAGTGTGAGAAAGCCTCTCGTAAGACGGCACATGGCTGAGTCGTGGGCAGGGCAAATTAAGGTTTAGATTAAACTGAAGCCTAAAGAAACTGCGGTCAGCCAGTCAGAGAAAAGGGGAATAGCGAGCATGTGGACAGAGAGGCGGCAAGCAGGAGAGATGGAGACGGCGTAGGGAGGGGACCTGAGGCAAGAAAGAGAACGGTGCACTCAGTCGTGACCAACAGCTTACACAAATAACTGGGCACAAACCCTCACACTGACCTGCTGCTGCCGTGCGCCAACACCCTCGGGGTAGAGGTGCCTGTGGGAATGGAGATAGCCGCTGGCCATGCGCAGGTTCTTCACAGTGATCACAGAGCCATAGGCCAGGTCTGAGGACAGCAGAGAGGAGGACGTGAGCTGACAGGTGCATGGTCTGCCTCTGACCCACTGACCCTCCAGCTGCCTCTGCACTGAGCCCACGACTGCCTTCTGCTGACACAGCTGCCTTCTTACTCCCTGGAGTCAAAGGGAGAGGAGGTGAGTGCGTGGTCTCATGTGTGCTCTCAGCCCCATCTCCTGAGAGCTTCAGAACAAAGGGGGTGCTAACAGTGTCATCAAAGCACTGCAATAACAGCAGAGGACTAGATGCAACCTGTCTTCAAAGTACAAACATCCACCTAATGGAAGAAGGGTAGAAGCAGCATCTGTCTTCATCTAGGATACTCTCACATATGTTATGACGGACTTTAAAGATCCTGTTGCAGTTGTTATGTGCTGTTGCATCAACCACGACCCATAGTGACCCTATGCACAATCACTCGGAATCCTGCCCTATCCTGCTATCCCTATCCTCATTATCCCAGTTACTGTGTCAGTCCATCTCATCTCAGGTCTTCCTCTCCTCAACTGTCCCACCATCCTTCCAAGTACAATGTCTTTCTCCAAGGACTGCTCCTTTCTGGCAACATGCCCAAAGTTTGTGAGACAGAACTTCCAAATCCTTGCCTCCAAAGAATGGCTTCATCTTCTCCAGGCCAGAGCTATTTGTTCTCTTGGCAGTCCATGGTATGTTCAATATTCTTCTCCAGTACCACAACTCAAAGGCATCAATTCTTCTGTCATCTTTAGTTACTGTCCAGCTTTCTGATGCATAACAAGTAATTGTAAAGACCATGGCCTGGATCAGTCACACCTTAGTCTCCAGGCATTGCTTCTCAGTACTCTAAGATGTCCCTGACAGCAGATTTTCTTAATGCAATTCATCTTTTGATTTCCTGACTGCTGGTGCCAAAAGTGTTTGTTGTGGAACAAAATAAGCTGAAATTGTTAACAATTTCAATCTCTTCTCCATCTGTCATGACGCTGTCAATTGGCCCAGTGGTGAGAATCTTCATTTTCTTGATATTGAGCTTTAAGCCATATTACAGACTATAGTTCATGACCCTCTGCAGCAAATGCTCCAGGCCCTCTACAGTTTCAGTAAGCAAGGTTGTATCATCAGCTAATAGGTTGTTGATGAATCTTCCTCTAATCCCAATGCCACATTTCTCCTCGTAAAGTCCAGCCTCACAAATTATCTATTCCACATACAGACTGAAGAGGAAAGGAGAATGCATCCCTGAAGCATTCCTATCCTGATTTTGAACCATTCAGTCTTTCCTCGCTCTATTCTGACGACTGCGTCCTGGTCCAAGTGTATGTTTTACATGAGCACAATCATTTGTTCTGGAATTCCCATTCTTCCCAAGGCTGCCTAGCCACAGTCCGTTGTAATGCACACAGTCAAATGCCTTTGTGCATTCACTGAAACACAGACATTGCTCTCTGCTTTCAAGCCAAGATCCATCTGACATTTGGGATGATATGACTAATGCCAAAGCTTCTTCTAACTCTAGCTTGTGTTTCTGGTACTTCTCTATCAATGTACCATTCTAGTCATTTTTAGATAATCTTCAGCAGGATTTTGCTTGAGTATGGTATTAATAATATTGTTCAATAATTTCTACCCTCTGTCAGATCGCCTTTTTTTTGAGACTTTTAAGATACTTTCACTAACTAACTTTGTGTCTTTAAATCTGGAACCTGCTTAAACTATTCAATAGTGGAGTTTAAGCTTTGGCTTCTCCTCCCCAGATCTCAACTGAAAGAAAAAAACAAAAACAAACAAACAAACAAAAACCAACCAACATAAAAACAGAGTAAACAGCCTGCCCAGAAACATCATCTCCTGCAGCCTCAGGCACTGATGAGTCTGTTTTTCTTTTTACTGTTCCTCAGCTCAATCTCTGAATCTGGCTGGCCCACCTTTCCGCAGACAACTGAAACAGGTCTCTCTCTACCCTCCACTGCCTACTCCTGCCCTCCTTGCCGCATTCATTCTAGCAACAGAGCTTACTGATTGCACAGTAGATCCAAAGGAGCAAGACGTTGTTGTGGCCTTGTCTGAGAGAAGGCAGCTTTACACACTGACAGGTGCAGGGCAGCAGACAAGGGTTGCAGAATTGTGACAATGTGTGACATGGTGGAAGCCCAGAGCAAGACAGGGCAAATGTCATCCCAGGGAGGAAGGAGAAGATGACTTCATGAAAGAGGACACTGTTGAGCTGCATGCTTTATACAGCACGTAGGAACTAAGTCTTGGAGTTTGATTTTTCTAAATTCCTGTTGCAGGCCAGCATCTGCAGCTTTGAACATCACTGACCACCTCTGCCTCTGGAAATGCTCTGTGTCCCATTCTGTGCCTGGACTGCTCCTCACCAGCTTCTTTCCCTAGTTCCTTTTCCCGAGACATTTCCGTAACCTTACCTCAGCTCTCTTCTCCTCTTCCTATAGTTTGCTTACAGATCACAGTATCATTTACTCTGTATTTGGCTAGTTCCTCTTTCAAAAGTACCAGGAGCAAGCCCACTGGCTCCACCGTGTGGATTTCCCTGAGCTCCTCAAGCTCAACCTCCATTATGTAGAATTCGGTATCTGCCTTCCAAACCATCTTTTTCTCCTGCTTTTTCTATTTCTTACTCTCTCTACAGTTTTGACAGAGCCCCCTGTGTCCTAGATGCCGTGCAAGACACTGAGGAGATGAAATGAGTAAGATGCAACCCGTACCTCAAGGAGATCTAATCTCCTTTGTACATTACTCTCAAGGAGCCATTGCCACGCTCAGCTCAAGTTCCTGCCAGAGCTCCGCAGAGGACCCACCTGCCTCCAAACCATCATGCACTCTGCCATCCATCACCTCTCTGCAGCATAGGCTTCCTGGCCTCTTCTGTTCAAAGACCTCCAGTGGGTCTCCACTGCCTAGTTAAAGAACTCAAATATCTCAACCACTAATTTCAAGTTCTCATAATCTATTTTCAGCCTTATTTTTCTATACTTCTCAACCTATAACATTTACATTAAATTTTGCCCCTTCCTTGGCTCTTGGCTCCTGCATGATGCATGCTCTCCTCCCTCTCTCTCTTTTATTTAAATCAGTGCATTTTTCCAGGACCCAACTCTAGGACAATTTGCCCCATTTAAGTACCTTCCATCTCTGGCCCCCCCAGCCCCTTGTACAAGTGATCTCTCACCCCCTCCAAGCACCACAGCTCGATGTTCCCTCTTTACATATTTAACACACGGTCACAGTGGGTGCAGATTCTCTACACCTCTATGCTCTTGGAGGGCGTCCACTCCTACAGTCTTCAGTGTGGCTAACACTTGCTCAATTACTGCCTGTGAACAAATGAATAGATTCTGTAGGTCACGAAACTCCGTGGTGGAAGCCAGCACGGGCCTTGGAGAGTCTGTTCTGTCACCACACTCTCTGTGGTCGCATCCCCACAGGGCTGGCTTTGATGTGCCTGTGGATGCAGTGAGGGGATTCTGCAGGATCAAAGGACATGCTACTCAGGATGTGTTCCTCCGCGTTTCCTTTGTCCTGATTCACTCTCTGCAGAACTCTGCCTACATCTAACTGGGTTTTTCTCACACTCTGCCCTTTATAGGCTGAAATAACTCAAGCTGTCATACATGTCTTTTCCAATTCAGCCCCCAGGAAACTCTCTGCTCTTCTATCTCTGTGGGAGACACCAGGGACACTCACGTTCAGGGATGGAGGCATTGTGCAGGTTGTTCCCTGAAAGGCGGGCCTGGAAGGCAGAACTGAAGAAGCCGTCGCCAGGACCACTGTGAAGAAAGGTGGAGCAGAAGAGAGTTATTTGAATGGCGCAAAAATTGCCATTTCCCAACAGCCTTAAGGACAGCTGTGCTCAGTAAGCCTAAGAGGTACAAGTGAGGTGGCAGTACAGCTCAGAGGGACAGACATGAGCGATGGAGCTGGAGAAATTAGGATCCAACTCCCAACTCAACTGCTTATTAGCTGAGTGATCTTAGGAAAGACAGCTCACGTTTCTGAGCTTCAGTTGCAAAACTGAGAAGAAATTCAAAAGGACTCACAAATGATTATGATTACATGAGATCATGTATATGAAATGCTGCACAGTTTCTGAGACTTTAATCTTCATTAAATGGAGCTGGTGCTGTAACTATGATCGCCACCAGGGTGGCTGCCGCTAGCCAAGGAATCTGCTGACGGATAAGGGCAGTGAGGCTATAAAAAAATTCTCGTCATTTTCAAGTGACCATGCTGACCATTCCGAGCCCTTGGTTATCCAGAGAATAGAAAACAGCAACAAGGAACAGGTCAAACCCCTATATAATCCTCTCACCATCCCAATTATACATCCAGGAAATCCCAACGTCCACTGATGGACTAGATCTGATGGTAGATCTACATGAATGGTTGAAAGGTTCCGGGGGCTGTACCTTTTACTCAGCACCATGAAGTGAACAGCAAACACGGCCGTGTAGAGAGCCAGGGGCAGCACTATGAGGCACAGGATGCGAGCAAGCAGGTGTTTCCCCACAGTCACCTGCAAACAGAGGCCAGCATAGGGTGGTGGGTCCACAGGGCCTTATTATCCCTCCTATCTTAATGTGCATTGTATGGAAGTTTTTATGTCTAAGTCATAATGATAAAAAAAAAAACTAGAAAGAGAATGGACAACAGGCAAAAACGTGTGGAAAAATTCTAAAATCATCCACCCTCCATGAGCTATAGTGACTCAAACACAGACTAGCCAGTCACCCAGGACCCTGAGCAGTTACTACAGCATACACAGTGTCACCTTCATCATCACTCACCAGTCCCCTCTACCCTATATTTGCATTTCATTTCCCTGATGCTTCCTAGCAGTCCCAGCCCCACCTATCACATGGTTAGATACTTCTTATCTGCGCTCCAGGCCTCTGCTTCCTCCCATGCCTTCCCAAGCTGTGCAAGACTGAGCTAGTGGGAGTCTTCTCCAGGCTTACACAGCATTCGCTAGCTGGATCGTAGCTGCCTTCTTAAGTCCATCTCTACACTGTCTTATTGTTATTGTTGTTGTATGTCATCAACTGGGAACTGACTCATAGCTGACCTGCCAGTCAGCTCTTTCAGAGGCAGTAAATCGACGGGGAGGAGATTACCCATCTTTCTCCTAAGGAGTGGCTGGTGGATTCAAAGCATGTGCCTTTGGGGTGGCAGCAGAACTCCTTACCAGAAGGCCACCAGAGCTCCCTCACTATCTCTCGAGGTGTCAGGAATCATATCTTATTCTTGTGTCTCATTTCTTACCAAGTTAACTTGGGAATTGAGTTCAGAGCCAGATTCGGCTTCACCTCTTACCCTCACTACCTGTATGACCTTGGGAAAGTTACGACTTCTAGGTCTCTGTTTTCTTATTTGAAAAAAGGAGGATATTATCTGCCTGTCTCGAAGGTTGTAAATGAGACAATGAAGGCAAAGAATTTTGCACAGTGCCAGGCAGGGAAGCAACTCTTAATAAATAATATTATTACTATAAAACCTAACAATCTTTCTTGGTAAAAGGAACAATGTGAGTTCTGAAAGGTACTTCACTCATTTTACCAATGATCACATAAGTCGGTGTCTGTCACACATTTGGCCTGAGGAGAACTGGACAGATCTCCTGGCTGGGCAGTTTGTAGAGTACTTAAAAGACATCACAGAAGCAAAAGCCAAGAGAGAATCCCAAGCCTGTTGTTCCAAGACTGTTGGTCCATTCTCTTTTCTCACATTCATTCTCTCATTTCTCTCTCTCCCTCCCTCCCTCCCCTTTCCTCCCTCTCCTTCTCCCTCTCTCTCCCTTTTTCTCCCCCATGCCCCTGACACTGCCCACTCCCTGCCCTCTGTTGTGGCAGCAGGAGTTCCTGCTTAGCAATATCTGGGGGGAAGTTTTTTCTAAAAACACTTGGGCTCTTACCAGTGAAAGACTGAGGTCTCCAAACAGGTGCCAAAGGTCTGAAATGGTGTTCAGGCCCACTTGCAGAATGATAAAGAGGCCAACAAACTTGACCCCAAGAGCGCCAGCGAGACTCACACCAGTCAGGCTCAGCCAGAGCCACCAGGGGACAGAGAAGGGCCTGAAACCCAACAAGACACAGTTCAGTTTGGCAGCTGGGACCAGACAAGAGCAGCAGTGGGCAGGAGCAGAGGGCTCTTTCTGGTGAGGCTAAACTGTGACGGAGGGAGTGTCTATAAAACCCCTAGAACCGCCGGCAGAACTCTGAGTGGGAGCAAGCAGGGCATTTTTCTGGACAGAAGGTTCACAGTTCTCCTGGCTACACAAAGGCTTAATGACAAACAAGAGGCTCAATCTTTAGTAGGGACCCATCAAAACGCAAACTCACTGCTGTCAAGTCAGAACTGACTCCTAGCTGACCCTGCAGTGGGTTGTGCAAGGCTGGAAACTGTACAGCAAAAGAACACCCATCTTTCGCCCTCTGAGCAGCTGGTGGATTCAGACTGTCAGAGGCACCACCTTTGGGTCAGCAGCACCATTCCCCACGGATATGCCAGCAGAGCCCTCCTGCCATATAGGAGTAAAAGAAAATGTCAGAGGAGTCCCCTGGACTCAAAGTCCTCTCCTTTGTGTTATCTTCAGGCCTTACAAAAGCCCACACTTAGTGATGTTTATTCCATACCAAGAACTTTACATACCCTAACCTTTTAGTCTTCACTACAACATCATGAGGACAATCCTTCTGTTCTTTTCTTTTATATGTGAGGAAAGTGAGGTACAGAAAGAGAGGTTACGTGATACAGCTAGCAACCCTGGCAGTCAGATTTCAAAGTTCTTGCTCCTAACAATTTCTCTATAGTGCTGTTGTTGTTGTGCATCATCAAGCCAGAACCGACTGATTCTCCCGTGGATTTTCAGAGGTAGTAGATGGCACAGAAGGAGAGTGAGTCCTTTCTCCTTGGAGCAGCTGGTGAATTCAAACCATGTGCCTTTGGATCAGCAGTGCAGCTCCTTGTCACTAAGCCAGTCATCCGTAATAAACCACAGTGCTCGTTTCTGAGCACTGGCTGCAATTTCTTCCAAGAGTAAATGTTCCTTAACAGCCAAGTCCTATACACCTCTGTACCTCCAGCTCCTAGCACAGTACTTGGCACACGGTACGTATTAGGAAAAAAAAAAAGAAACAAAACAGAAAGTAGAGTGAACAGAGTTGTTATGTGCCATCAAGTTGCTTGCAACTCATAGCGACCCTGTGTACAACAGCTCTGAACCTTGCTCTACCTGTGCCAACATTATTTTCTCTGATCTACCTACCCTCATTACACCAGTCACTGAATCAATCCATCTCATCGATGGTCTTCCTCTCTTGTGCTGTCTCTCCACCCTCCCAAGAATGATGTCCCTTTCCAAAGACTGGTCTCTCTTTACAGTACGTCCAAAGTATGTCAGACAAAGCTTCAGAATCCTTGCCTCCAACACAGTAGAAATAAGATTATCTAAAATCAGTGTGGCTGGTCATCATAGGTTTGATTAGCATAATACAGCTTAATGAGCTTGGTCATGAATGCGATCAAGTTGCCTTCTAGAAAAGCCAAAAAAATCCAGCTCTTCTGGTTTGAAAGGAATAAATGACCTACTCTACTCTCTAAGCTCTGGTGGCCCAGTGGTGAGAAACTGAGCTGCAAACCTGAAGGCATGCAGTTAGAATCCAACAGGTCCTCTGTGGGAGAAGGATGGGCAATCTCCTCCCATGTGACTAAGCGCCTCTGAAAACCTGCTGGAGAGTCAGCTATTGGTCAGTTCCAACTCAATGGTACACAACAGTAACAACTCTCTAAACAGAAAAATCATATGAAAAAAGACTATTCTCCAGGGTGATTTGGCTTTCCAGAGCAGCTTTCAATATTACCAGAACATGAAGGAATTCTCTTGACTGGTATAGACCATTTATAGACCATTCAAGCCAACTTTCCTATAAATTATTTTCATCATTAAGTCAAGACTAGATGCAACCTTGAGGCTTCTGGGAAGTATATATCCTTGTACCTTCTCCTCCATGATGGACAATGTGAAGGAAAATGTAGATCTGGGATAGCAGTGTAAGGGATGGCTTATAATATTGTGGGGTGAGAACACGAGAACTCCTTCCACAAAGCCCTAACCAAATCTACCCTCTCATTTTATAAGTATTATTAGTAATTTGAGGGGGGGGGCAAGAATTGACATTTTCTTAGTCTTCTACAAGTTGGCATAGTCCACAGGGAGGTGACTGCTAACCCATAGGCCTTGCCTCTCTGGAAGTTCAACTCCACCAGCAGTTCTGAGGGAGAAAGATGGCCAATATTTTCTCATGCAATTTACAGCCTCAGAAAACCTGCTGGAGGACCAGCTATGAGCTGGTTCCAAATTAAGGGCAATGAGTTTTTCAATTTATAAAAGGCAAAAAGAAAAGCATCTATAGAAAACATTCATATTTTTATTATAACAAAATGCTCAATCTAAGTTTAAAATAACAAATAAAAATTGTACACTTTCTCTAAACTCGGGTTCCAGGCAAGGTCTCCAGGCACCCACCCAGGCCCCGGTCATTACAGAAATCCTGGAGCGGCCACTGCCTCAGTCCCTCCCCTCCCAAGGACGGGGTTTCTTACCTGTCCGCACAGGAGTTGTACTTGACCATGCTCAGCATGGCAGCCATGATGAAGAACATCAGGATGGGGTCAAGGAGGATGTACTGAGACAGAGTGAGGCATCCCGTGTCTGCAAAACATCAGCTCACTGGTCAAAGGCAGAGTCGGAGCAGGGTCCCCTGGGAACCAAACACCCCAGCAGTAGGAAACATTCTGGACTAAGCATTTGGGTAATCAAGTCTAGACGGGCCACTGAGCGACGAGGAAGGAGGAAGGACACAGCGTTGGTGTATCCTAAAAGCCCAGTGGCAAGAAAGAGTATCTCAAACCAGCTCCAGGTCCTTGTACTAAAAGGGAACACATCATGCACTGAAACAGAGTAGTCCTGAGACCAGGGCTCGTTCTCATTTTCATGATCAAAAAGTGAGCTCTGTCCCCTGCTGATGTAGCCCAAACAAGCTATACTGAAAGAGTCTTACTATTTTCTAGAATGCCTTTGTTGAGAGCTGAGTCTCCATATAACTGCCAGGGTGGTTTCTGTTTAAATATCTCCTTATGTTACATCTAGCTAAAACTCCCCAATGTCTTCCACCTCGTGTAATGTGAAGACGCCTCCAAGGCCTTCACAGTCTCGCCCCTGCCAATGTGCCCAACTTCACCTCCCACCACCTTCTGCCTCACTCACTGCACTGCAACTGCATTGACTTTCTTGTTCCTTATCCAGCACTGTCTTGAATCAGAGTCACGGCACTTGCTATCCTCTCTGCCTGGAACACACCTCCCATAGGGCTCCGCATGAATTCATAACCCTCTGCTTCACTCAGATCTCTGATCAGAACCAACCCCCTCAGGGAGACCTTCACTGACCACCTTACATCAGATAGTCTTACATTCTGTCACTCACCCTACCTTATTTTCACACTGTAATTGCAGTTTAAGATAGCCTATTACAGACTATTACACACTGTCTGCCTCACTAGAAGGCAAGCTGCAATGTCGGCAGAACATCTCATTGGCAATGATGAGGCCCAGGAAAGTGGTCCAGCACAGGGCGGGTACTAGGTAAGTAGCCACTAAATGAAAAGTGAATAAATAACTGATTGAATGAATAGCTGAAAGGGAAAACAAAATCCCACCAGTCCCATAAGGCAAGGCTCTACAGTGTTAAAAACACCTGCCAAAACAAAGTCTAGACCACCCCTGAGGTCACGAATTCACACTCATAACAATAAGGCTAGCAGTAAGATTGACTTCTACAATCAACTTTGCCCATAGTAAAAATTTACTTTGCTATTTTGCCACTCCCTGCTATCCAGTTACCTCTACGGCAGCTGCTTTGCATTCAGTTGAATGAGTTTAGGAAAGGCCAAGGGGCCTTGGTAGCAGCCTGAGAGTGGCAGAATTAGAATTCTAAACCTCTTTCAAAAAAAAACCCAAATATATTTTATTACACATTCTAAATTAAATTGTGATAGTTTGAGGGTTATCTATTCCTTGAGATTACCCATATCAACTTTCCCATCCAGTAATATAAAACCTTGCAACATGAAATATTTATATATAGGTGTCATCAGTGAATACATATGAGGTTTGTATATATTTTATATCATTATAAACTCAGTGAAGAACTGGCCTCAGAGATGTCACCCTTAAACGTACTGATTTCCAGCTGATTAACAGTGTGGGAGTTCCCCCAGAACGTACTATTAGAAAACTTACCACAGATGAGGAGGGCAGCTGTGAGTAGTGCAGCTGGGAGAGACCTGGACAGCTCCAGAACTATGAGGTAGGCAAAGGGAATCAGACAGGAACCCAGGAATGCACAGAACTGGAGAAGGAGAAGAGAAGCAGTCAAGCAACGGGCTTCTCTACATCTCGGGGGTCTGTCTATATGACTCTAAGATGTAGAATTTTGACAAATTTGGCTCCCTAAAATAATCTATCTATAAATGAGAAATCTTTAAAAACTTCACAAAACCAACTGATTCATAGCTGACCCTCCAGCAGATTTTCAGAGGCTATAAATCGTACAGGAGGAGATTGTCTACCTTTCTTTCACAGGGAAGCTGGTGGATTCGAACTGCCTTATCTTTGGGCTAGTAGCACAACTCCTTACCCACTAGACCACCAGACATGGTATTTATAGTCAGAAGTCAAAGTGAGAACACGTGTTTCCACTAAGCACCAAGTTGGTGCACTGACATGAAATCAATAAAGTTTAGAATGCATGGACAATAAGGAAGATGCCAGGAAGGTATGGGAAGACTGGCCCAGAGCAGTTTCAAGTGAGAGAATCCAGAGTGAGCCTGCCTCACCACAGATACTGTGACCCTGGGAAAGTTACATCTCTGTATCTCAGCTTCTCTGTCTATCCAATGGAAAAAGCAAGAGCTGCTACCTCATAGGGTTAATGTTTTAGATTTGATGAGATAAAGTTTTATTAGCACACAGAAAATGCACACACTATGTTAGCTTCTACTTGAGCTATGTGTGTAAGTTGAGATAGATCTGTTTGAAAGCATTTCATTATTTTAGAGACTATCAATGCTATTTCTGTAATTTTGTTCTCTTTCTTTTCATCAATGATGTCAGAAAGCCACTCCTCAACCCACAGGAAGAAATAAAATCTTGGTAACAATAGTGACACTTCAGCATCTGGCAGGCTGTATGACTGCTGGTTTTGTCTTTTAATCATTAGCCCTTTTTCTATCAGAAAAGTTGGTGGTTTGAGCCCACCCAGAGACACCCTGGTAGACAAGCCTGGAAATCTGCTTCCAAAACGTTACGGCTTTGAAAACCCTGTTGAGCAGCTCTACTCTGTACATTTGGGGTGGCCATGAGTCAGAATCCACCCGAGAACAAATTACAGGGACAGCTTACCATCTGCCATGCTGCCCATCAAAAGTAAACCTCTCATACTCAGGCTTCACTCTGCAACATACTAGTCCTTGGTCTTTTACTAAAGATTTTCCCAGGATTGATCCATTATGAGTTAAATGGCATGAAAACAACCACCACTGATTCTGTGAGCTCTGCAGAGGCAGAGCTTATGAACCTGTTTAATAAAAGCCCTTATTTAGTAAACCTCTCCCTCTATGGAATCCAACTGGAACCAACTCATAGCTGACCCTCTAGCAGGAAACTGAGGCTGTAACTGGCACTAGAGGAGACTGCCCATCTCCCTCTGTGGAGCGACTCGTGGAGCCCACTGGAGAAGCTCCGCCTTTGGGTTGGCCAAAAAGCTCCCTACTGACTAAGCCACCAGTTTCTTTAACCCACAGGAAGAACGTTTAAAGTAAGTGCTGCTGTGTAACATCGGGTCAGAACCACTTCATTTATTCCTTTTTTCATGTTGTGTACCACAGAATAGGATCCAACTGGCACAGGAGGAGATTGCCCCTCCTTCTCCAGTGGAGCATCTGGTGGATTCAAACAGCGTGCTTTCAGGATTGCAGCACAGCTTCTTGCCACTAGGCCACCAGAGCTCCCTTGAACCAACTAATTTCTGACCCTCAAGTGGGTTTTCAGAGTCTGTTAATCACATAGGAGGAGACTGTCCATTTTCTCCCACTGAGCAGCCGGTGGATTTGAATCATGTGCCTTTGGGTTGACAGGGTAACTCTACCATTAAGCCATCAGTGTTCTCTTTTAAAGTAAACTTAAAAAAGTAAATACAGAAACCCAGGAAATGGGAAATTTTCACATTCCTTCTTCTTTTGATGTTTCTTCCTGCATCACTGGTATTTTGTCCAATCCAGGATTGCAGTTTGAGGCTGTATTTGTTCTTCAGTTCTTTCGGCTTGAGAAATGCCCTTCCCCTTTGGCTTTTTTTAGCTCCAGGTCTTCACATAACTCATTGCAATACTTTGTCTTCACAAGCTGCTCTTTGAAAATCTGCTGCCGCGTTCTTCTCCACATAGTTTTCGTTTCTTATTTGTTCAGCGTACAGATTCAGTTGGTACAGGGAAAGGACACAACCCTGACATCTTTCCAAAATTTAGACCATGTAATATCACCTAATTCTGTCTGAATCTAGGCCTCCTGGTCAGTGTACAGGTTTTGCATAAGCACAATAAAATGTTGTGGAATTCCATTCTTCTCAATGTTATCCATAACTTATTATGATGCACACAATCATTGTCAATAAAACAAGTAAACATCTTTCAGCCGAGATTCTTCTCACATCAGCATTTATATTCTTCATGCTGCAGCCACTTCTGAATCCAGCTTGTATTTCTGGAAGTTTTCATAGGGTCAGCTATGAGTTGGTGCCAACTTGATGGTACATAACAACCAGCACTACTACTACCACTTTGAGGAGGCCTCTCTTTCTAGTCCAGTTCTAGTGCCTTCCAAATGGAAGGGCTCATCTTCTGGCATGATACCAAGCAAGGACAGACACATGGCTCCCTTAAATCAGATTAGAAAATCCTTGTGTGCACCTAACACCTTGATGGAGAAAAACATAGGAGCATCATAAAAAAAGTATGAAGATGCTACAACCTTGAGAAATGGCCGTAAGACATAGGCAACATTCCAGCAGCTATGGTCATAGAGAGGAAGAATGTATGATTTGCCAGGATGCTGGGGTCAGTGTCAAGGCTGCAGGAAACACATGGCTGCTCTCCAATCTGAAACTGGCCTCATGTGGGTGGGCTAACAGGTGACAAGCCAGTCTGTACTTGCTCCTACCTATGCAATCTCTACATTATTTACCTGTCACCTTCTTTTTCTCTCTTCCTCACCCCACTTCTGAGTTTTTACACCACAGGATTTCAGTCCAATCATCCTCCCCTCTCCTCACATCTCCAGTTCCTGCTACCAATCCACAGCTTCCACTGGTAATCTTTCTAACTGAGGTGGTCCCCTGGTTCAGTCCATATCACGTCAGAAAGCCTTACTCCTCTCATTCCCAGGTAGTGATGATGCTCATACTTGTCCCCAGGCTTCTGGAATAAAAAAGTACCATCATATCCACTCAGGTAGCCAGCAAGACCTATCAGCATCTGAGGAGAGAAAGAGAAAACACGGGATATAAGATAAGAGACCTTTGGGAGAACATTTCTGTCCCTTCAACTTCCCTCCAGCTGCATCCACAGACACTGGCTTTCCTTGACAACTGTCCATAGAAGGGGATGCCAATGTGACATTTCTTCCTGCAGCTGTTGCACAGAAAAGAGTCCTTTGTCTACAGATCTCCCTGCTAGAAACAAATCCTCTCTGTTTCTTGGCCAAGTGCCTGGGAACAACACAGACTGAACATTTAGGGAGAAATTGCAAAAACGCAATTTGAGAGGCACAGCCAATGAGGGGCTCCCTTATACAGCCTCCTTGAATTTGTTGTGAAATAAACCACCATAGCCCCTTGAAGGAGGCCATGTGCAGAGGCTGACACAGGCACTAAGCCATGGGCTTCAGCCAGTCCACTCCTGGGAAAAGGGCCCACTGAAAGAAAAATGAGGTTCTGAACCAGGATGAAGAGGAGAAAGAGTTGCCAAAGTGCTGCATCGCAGGACTAGAGAGAAAAAGAAAAAGAGGAATGTTGAAACGGATGTATTTTCCAGAGGAGAAAAATCCCAATGGAAAAACTGCCAAAAAGCCAGAGACTGGTGTCCCTTATTTCCAACATTCCAAAGGAAGGAAGGCAACTTTGGTACCTCCCCAGGCAGAACAAACTGACTATAAACCCAGAGGGTGAGCCACGAGCCTTTCAAGACACTGAAGAGCCTCAGTCTCTCCTCTCCTCTCTCTCCTTGGCTCACAATAGAGTATACAACCTGGTAGCAAACACCAACAACTTGTGCCACCCCCCAGCTGCCCCAGCCTGGGCCTGTGTGGAGACAGAACGCTGGTTGGGTGTGGAGAAGGCCCCCACAGGGACAGTGCTCTTGAGGGCCTGGACCCAAGTCCACTACACAGCTCACAGGTTTCTCTAAGTAGTTCTACACAGAACCACTCTCTAGTCAGGTCAGGGTACCGAAGTCAGTCAAAGTTCAGCACTACAGGATCATAAAGATTTGTGGTTTTGTTGTTGATTGACTGCTTTTAAAGATGAGAAATTTGAGGGACCCATAGTTTATTTAATACAATAAAACTATTTTAACGTAAATCTGTAGTTGTTTGCCATATTGTCAGAACTGACCCATCGCTGACCCTCCAGCAGGTTTTCAGAGGCAGTAAATTGCAGGGTAGGAGGATCCCCATCCTTCTCCCATGGAGCAGCTGCTGGATTTGAGTGCATGCTTCTGAGATTACAGAGCAGCTTCTTACCACCAAGCCACCAGAGCTCCCTAAATAGAAGGTACTGAAAAGGCAGGGCCATCCAAATGCCTAGCGAGATGAACTAAAACTGACAGGAGATACTGAATGGATGTCCCTTCCCACCCAAAACCTTGGAGAACAAATCCACCTGGGGCTGGTCATAAATGAGTAGGTTGGTTTTATGGTCTGCAGGGGATAAGAAAAATTTAAGTGGTTTGAATCTCAGCATCCTACAAACAAGCTATCTGACTGCGAACAATTCTTAATAACTTCAAATTGTTGTTGTTGTTGTTAGCTGACCCTCCAGTGGGTTTTCAGAGGCAGTTTATCGCAGAGGAGGCAATCGCCCATCCTTCTCCTACTCCAAGTTATAGGTGATCAAAGTCTTCCCTGCAGGAGCTGAGAGAATCAGAGGTGATACTTCAAGTAGAACCCCGAACACTGTACCTGGACTTAACAAGTCCTCGAAATCATGCTCCTTAATGCTGAAAGTGGCTCACACTCATTTCATACCCTACCTCATTCAAAACAATAAAAAGAAAATAAATGGCCAATAAACATAGGGAAAAAGGTTCAATCTAACTCATACAGACATGCAAATTAGGCAGCAAAGTATCACTCTTTACTCTCAAATTGATAACACGTTTTTTAAAAAATAATTCATTCACATACATTGAATTTTACACACTCACATACATTGTGTTTTATATAATTACTTACCACTGATCAATGTCTTTTATCATCCTATCTCACCCAAGTCCCCTCTGTACCTTGTCTATTCCTTCAACTTCACATCCCTCAGCTAATCTCTGCCCCAGTGAGTTTTGTTGGGTTTTTTTTTGTTTCTCCCCCTTGGCGGTTTTCAGGCACATTTGTCCTTTTGTCAATTCTTGTCAGGCTGATCCCCTCTTGCCTGGAACCCTTACAGCGCTCACTGTCAGCTACCCTCCTATTTTCACAGAAGTGGTCTTGTGCAGTATTTGTCCTCTTGTGACTAAATTCTTTCACTCAGCAAAATGTCCTCTATGCTCACCTATTCTTACAAATATGTTGTTCTATAGAGCTGTATAGTATTCCACTGTGTGAATTTATCACAATTTCTCTATCCAGTCATCTTTTCTTGATGGGCATTCAAATTAGCAACTAAAGAATGAACATAGTAGTGCTGGCGACATCTGGAAACAATTACCTTCTTTTTTCTTTTTTTTGTTTTATTATTGTGTGTGTGTGTGTGTGTGTGTACTGTCAAATCAGATCTGACTGGTACAGGAGGAGATTGCCCCTCCTTCTCCAGCAGAGCATCTGGTGGATTTGAACCACATACATCTGGGATTGCAGTGCAGCTTCTTGCCATTAAGCCACCAGAGCTCCCTAAAAATCAATCACCTTCTTACACTACCAGTGGCTGGCGACATTGTTACAAAAGTTATGCAGGGAGGCTTGGCAATAGCTAACACAATTTTAAAGGCGCATAGCCTTTGGCTACTGGGGAGCTTTCCAATAAACCTGCAAAACTCTGCAAAGATGCACGTAGAAGGACATTCATAGTCAAAGTTTTTGCAATGGTTAAAACTAGAAATAACAAAGACCTCTATCAACGGAAGAGGAGTGAAGCAATTTATGGCACTTCCACGTGCAGGCAGGCCCTGATTTATGATGTCATTTGAATATGATGAACCCCACATCCATGTTTATTGCAGCTTTGTTCACAATAGCAAGGAGTTGGAAACAACCTAAGTGCCCATCAACAAACGAATGGATAGAGAAGCTGTGGTATAGTCACACAATGGAATACTATGCTGCATTGAAAAACAAGGAACTCATGCAGTATTATTAAAAATGGGTGACCTTGGAGGACATTATGCTGAGTGAAGTATCTCAGTCACAAAAGGACAAATACTGCATGGTGCCACTGTTGTAAAACAGGACTGACATCAGGTTGGGGGGAGACTGAGAAAGATGAGTTCAATAATGTACACTGCATTGAAACAGATGAGGGAGAAAACTGGTTAAAAGGGATATTTGATTAGGTATTTTTGTCATGACAGGTGTCTAGAGTGAAGGCTACATGGTGGAGTGGACCTGGGGAAGGGTTTGTAAAACAATGAAAGAGTTTTTGTTTTACTTTTACAAGAGGGTAGTGTACTAGGGGGAGGATGGGGAGGGAGGAAAAGTGCAACAATGAATCAATGGAAATCCAAAGTCTCTGTAAATTTTTACTGAAATTAATAATAAATTTTTTAAAAGAATATGATGAACCTTACTTATTATTTGGGAGGTTTTTATTATTTGTATTTCTTTTATACGTTTAAATGTATTCTCTCTAAACCCCAAAGGCAAATATAGGTCAGATATATAAAAATACTGATAATAAAAGGCACTAAGAATGAAAACAAAACAAAATTAAAAAGTATTCAATGTTGTCAGAACTGGTTTATGACAAAATTTCCAGGAGAAAAATCATTCTAAGTCAGGAACTACCTGTAACTGACTGAACCAGTGCCATCAAGTTGATTCCAACACATGACAACACCAGGTGAGTCCACAGAGTTTTCAAAGTGTTCCCTCTCCCTCAATAGATCACCAGACCTTTCTCCCAAGGTACTAAATCAATGTCTTTGAGTTGTGGTGCTGAGGAGTACTGAACATACCAAGGACTGCTAATTGAAAAAACAGGATTGTCCTGGAGAGGGTGAAACCAAGCTGTTCCTTGGAGGCTAGGATTTTAACGCTCCCTCTTACATACTATGGGCATGTAGTCAGGAGGGATCAGTCCATGGAGAGGGACATCAAGCTTGGAAGGATGGAGGAACAGCACAGAAGAAGGAAGACTCTGGATGAGATGGGTTGATCAGTAACTAGGGTAAATAGAGGTAGATGTCAGGGTAGCAGCTATGCTTTCTTTAGGGTATACTACTAGTAGTGGAATTACTGGGTCAAATACTATTTCTATTTCCAACTTTTTGAGAAAGTACCATACAGCCTTCTATAGGGGTTGTACCATTTTACCCTCCCACCACCAGTGAATAAGGGTTCCAATCTCTCCACAACCTCACCAGCATTTGTTGTTTGCTGCTCTGTTGAATGTTGCTATTATTGCTGTGGTAAGACAGTATCTCACAGTTGTTTAATTTTTAAAATTTAGATATAATTCACGTATTATAAAATTTATCATTTTAAAGAGCATAAAACTAATTCATTGTTGTCAAGTCAGAATAGACTCAACAGAACTGATCCTCCAATGGGTTTTCAGAGGGTGTAACTGAACAAGAGGAGATTGCCCATCTTTCTCCATCACAGCAGCTGGTGACTTCAAACAACCCACCTATGGGTTGACAGTGCAATTCTCTACACCCAAGGCCATCAGAGTACCCTTATATAGTTCTGTAGTTTTTAGTATATTCACAGAGTCCTGCAACCATCATCATTATCTAATCCCAGAATATTTTCATCATGTTCCTAAAAAGCCCATACCCATTAGCAGTCACCCCCCATTCCTCCTTCCTCCAGACCCCAGCAACCACGTATCTACTTCCTCTCTCTATGGACTTATTTATTCTGGGCATTTCTAGAAATAGCATCCACAATTTTTTTGTGTCTATCTCCTTCCACTTTGCTTAATATTTTCAAAGTTCACTCCTGTTGGAGACTATTAGTACTTCATTCCTTGTTCTTCTACCTGAATAGTACTCCAATAAAGAGATAAAGGAATTTTGGTAGCACAATGGATAAAATGCCCAGCTGTTAACCAAAAAAAGGTCAGCAGTTCAAACCCCACATGTACACTACGGGAGAAAGATGTGGTAGTTTGCTTCTATAAAGATGTCCAACAGTGGAAACTCCGTGGGTCCGTTGAACTGTGGCTCATGGAGCTGCTACAAGCTGGAATCAACTTGTCAGGAGTAAGTTTTGAGGTTTCACTTAGGTAAGTGGCAATGCATTTACTTATTCATCAGATAGCTTTCCCTTCAGTTCCAAACCTCGAGGGTCCTAAAAAGAGATTTTTTATAAAAGTAGTTGGTTTGGAATACCTAGGGAATTACTTCTGCAAACTCAAGGATTCATTCTAAACCAAGACTTGGTTCTGATTCAAGTGACAGGGTTTCCCCCAGACGCACAGGTCAGAGAGCTGTTGCAGCCACACTGCTCACCTTTCCCAGAGGCGGGTGCACGTCAAAGAAAAAGGTACGGTTGATGTAGTAACTTCCCATCTTCCCGAAGTGAGTCTCATCCCAACTAAAGAAAAACAAAGAAAGAAATGACAATTTTTAATTTATGAGAAAACTTGGAGTGCCTTAATTAAACAAGACTAAATTATAGTTAAAACTAAAGGCTGGGAGTTTCAAACAATTAATGAGGACTTTTGGATTAAAAAACAGCTTTAAACACATATGATCTGAGGAAGAAAGTACTACATTGCATTTACCAGCCAGTCATCAAAAATTTAAATACCATCAATACTCCTTGTCTTAAATATCTTTTATAAGGACAAAGGACTTTCCTGTAACATGGAATTGTATTAAGACTTTTCTTCCAAGTCTGTTAGCCTATAACTCTGGGATTGTGATAGTTATTAGAAATTTTTACAATATCACGAGGATAACGGCTCTAGGAAGGCTGCACACCATGGTTGTCAAAGAAGTCTGATTTTGCACATCAACATTGTGGTAATTATCCTGCTGACTATGCTCTCATTGATCTTACTAAAATTAACCCATCAGTATAAAAAAATAAGGGAGCTCTAGTGGTGGAGTTTACAGGGAGTTGTACTGTTAATCCAAAGGCAGTATCTCTCTGCTGAATTTAATACACCAGCAGTTCCAAAGGAGAAAGACTGGCAGTCTCCTGTGTGATTTAAAGCCTCAGAAACCTACTGGAGGGACCACTGTGAGACAGTTCTGACTCAACAACAATCAAAGAGTGAGTGAGAAACAAAATTTGAAGGCTTTCTTACCAAATGTAAAACAAATCTAAAACTTATCCTTGCTCTGAAGTGACCCTGTAAGTAAGCTGACTTTCAAATCCTCTTCTTCCACACAGCCACATAACCTTACACACTTGGTGTCAGCTGCTGTCAACATATCAGTTCCAACTCATGGTGAAAGCCACGTGAGCAGAGGAGAACTACTTCACAGGGCTTTCAACACACATAAAAAGTCAGTTTGGTTTGTTTATGTTGTTTGGGTTTGGTTTTTGGTTTTTTTGTTATTTTGTTTGTTTGTTTTTAAAAAAAGATATTTGCTGGGGGATGGTGCGCACCCGCCAACCGCCCACACAGAAGAGACGAAGTGTGCCCCGCCGCCCGTGGGTGGGATGTGTGCCCTACCACCTGCAGGTTTGGGGTTCCTTGGAAAACCAGAGAAGATGATCACCTATACAATGGATTGTTGAAAGTCACTGTAAGTTGTCTACTTGATAACACTTACAGTCGCAGCATGTCCAAGAGGACCAAAATCCTAAATGCACCACATATTTTGATCTGTTGAATGCTTCTGCCAAAAGATGTTTGGACCTGGGGGGAGCCTGTTCACAATTTTCAGGTTCCCTTTGCCATTTATAAAGGGGGAGAGAAGTGACACCTACTTCAAATTATAGTATGACCACTTATGGGAGGGCGGGGGGTAAAAGTGGTGGTGCTGGAATTGGAGATGCTGTCCCTGGCCACACACTCCTCGGTCAGGTGAGGGAACCAGATTAGTGTGGGGGTAAGTAGAGGGGATATACCAGCCAGCCCATGGGGGGTGTTGCCCTGCTCGGGACGGGTTGTCTTCGGCCCTCGGCTCGGGGCGAGCCGTCATGGCCCTCTGCCCAGGGTGGGCTGTCCTTGGCCCTAGGCTCGGGGTGAGCCGTCATGGCCCTCTGCCCAGGGTGGGCTGTCCTTGGCCCTCGGCTCAGGGTGAGCCATCATGGCCCTCAGGGTGAGCTCCTCAGTCCCCAGATTGTACCATCTGACCCCTGGGTAGGAAAAAAAATTCCTAGGGTATCCAGAGAATTTTATCTAGGCTACTTTCTGCCACCCTCTCCCCCAGTAAACCTGAAAGCAACACTCCCAAAACCCCTCTATTTGTAACTCACAAGTTTGTTCTCTCTAGGTTTGCTCCCTTTCCTATAGGTAACCTTACCACTGAGTTTTACTTCAGACCTGACCCCGAACCCAGTGCCAGTGACAAAAAGGAAATACAACTGCCAGCTAGAGAAGCAAAGGAGGATGGAGCCTCTGCGTTCAACCAGCCATCCCCACTGGACCCACCTGGGAAAACACCTTGCAGTCCAGAGGGGAGCAAATGACAGGAAAATATCTTCTAACAGAACAAGAAGGCAAGCAGCCTTAACCCAAGATCACCAGTAAGGTGATAAAGTGTCCTCCCTTTTCCCCTTCACATCAATGCCCCTGTTCAGCATGAAGAAGCCTGAAAGTCTGCATCCAGTTCCCAAATCAGTAAGACAGCTGATTTAACTACCATTGGAAAATGCTTGTCATTTTCCTGTAGCATCTGGTCCCCAACTGGATCACTTTCATTTCCTTCACCTGCTCCCCCCACCAACCAATTTCTGCAGCTCTGCAACTGCATCCCTGCCCATCCTCACCCTTCTGCCCCCAACCCTCACCTCCTTGTACCCTCAATTTTTTTCCCAATAAAAATTTTTAAAAAAAGGTATTTGCCATGAATAAATCACTGAACATACAAAATTCAATCACTCTATTTCTGGCCTCATTTCTGTCTCAAGCCTGTACTGTCCAACTACCCTTCTTTCTTTATTGTTTCCAACTTTTGCACTCCAGTCAGCAATTATCATTAATGCAATCTTGACTGCATGTTTGGTCAATTTTGTACTGCAAAATTTGACAAAAGTCTTCAACTGGTACACTTTGTCCCAGCAGTCCAGAGACTGGGAGCCATACTGCACTGGAAAAGTCTGAGTTCAGGGACATCTCCAAATTATTGAGAAACAATGATGTTGATCCATATTCTTCTATTGTCCATAGGGTTTTCAGATGCTTATTATTTCAGAAGTGGATAGCCAATCCTTCTTCCTAGTCTGTCTTGATCTGTGAGCTCTACTACAATCTGTCCACCATGGATGATCCCTGTGGCATTTGACACACTGGTGACACAGCCTTTAGCATCACAGCACCCACAAGTTAACTCAGTACAGTAAACGGACAGACAAGTGCTGTACTAATTAGCACAATGATAAATAAGCAAGAACACAGATATCCAAGTGAAGAAGAAAAAGAAAGCAATATGCAGATCATTCCCCAATACAAGGAACTAACATAAGTCTCGGGGAGCAGCTCTAGGGAAGGTTTTCTCTCTGTGGCAGTTCTGGTGGAAGATGCTTACTGCTGAGTTTCTGCTCTTGGACTGTCTTCCCATGACTTAGTGTCTCTGCTCTTCCATCTGAGGCTCAGGGCTGCACAGCAGGATGATGCCCCAGACGAGGGCAGTGTCTCCTCTGGACCTATCAGGCTGGTGCTCCTTGCTCAAAGCAAAGATGGGTGGAAGATCCTTTCTTTCTCGTTTGTATTCTCAATTCAATAAGAAACACTCACTGCAGAAGATTAAACACTGAAGCCTTGAATATGGATTGCATCTCAATCCCAAGAAAAAAAATTTCCCAACACTGGACCAATAGGTGTCATCATGATAGATGGAGAAAAATTGGAACTGTCAATGACTTCATCTTACTTGTATCCACGATCCATACCAGCAGTCAGGAGATCAGGATATGTATTGTACCGGGATCATCTGCAGTCAGAGACCTCCCCAAATTACTGAGGAGCAATGATGTTAGTTTGAGGACTACAGTGCACCTGAGTCAGACCAGGGTCTTTTCAATCATTTGCTATGCATCTGAAAGCTGACAATTACTAAGGATAAGAGAGGAGTTGATGGCTTTGAATTGTGGTGTTGGAGAAGAGTACAGAATATCCCATGGACAGCCAAAAGAACAAATGAGATGTCTTGAAGAAAGTGCAGCCAGAGCACTCCTTGGAGGCAAAGATAATTGATTCGACACTGACAGCACCTAACAATCACCACCACCTTCTGGAAGCAAATCTCAAACCTGTCTTCCAAAGCATGCTAGATGGATTCGAATCACTAACCTTTTGGCTCATTGAGTGCTTAACTGTACCATACGTAAGGGCTTTTAAAAGGCCTGGCTATTTGTTTTCCAGTCTCCCTCTACAGCTCAGAAGATATTTCTAGTGACTAACCATCCTCAGGCCAGATTCCACAAATAATCCTTACCCACCTAGCACATAAGAAGCAAAACATGCTTTGCCCATGTAATACTTTTGTATTTACTCAGTGATTGTAGTAAGTGAGCAGAAGAAGCAATCTATTCATGTTCTAACAACAAATGACAGATAATAGTGGTGTCATGGTGATTTCTCAAAGCAGTAACATCAAAGCAGTATGACAAAATAGACATACAGCGAGAGGTTCGACCCCAGCTCCACCAGTTGTTAACCATATGCCTGGAAAAATCATTCATTCACTCTAGACTTCTTTTCTGATCTACAAAGTGAAGACAATAATAGCATCTGCCATGGCTCGTCCCTAATCTGAGTTGGGGCTCAACTCAGCTTACATGTATGAAATCTGTAGACTATATATGCTGAGCATTATTTAAACTGTCCTAATAATGGTAATTTCTTTTGAAATTTTCTTGAAAACATAGTGACAAAGGGACATGAGATTTTCTTTACTTCAAAGTTTCCCAAGTAAAACTAGTAGTAACATTCATATTCTTCGCTTTTATCGCTTCGCTTATGTTGGGCCAGACAGTCGTCCACCAGTCTTCTGGCTCCTTCATGTCTCACCAAGTATGTGAAGGACACAAGGTCCTGATCGCTCTTTGCCTGGACAATTTCTCTGAGTTATATTTGCAGCAAGCAACCTTGAGGGAAGAGGTAATGTATCTCTCTGGGACCAAGAACAGGCTTGCTTACTGCTTGTTGAGAGGCTTCCCCAAGCTCAGCAATCCTCATGTGGGAAGTCACCCACTGAACGTGCAGGCATCCATCTGAACTCCTGCCGTCATACGGCACTTTAGGGAAACTAATGTCAGCATGTTGATGCCCATCCTCTTGCTGAGCCCTAAGAAGAAATCTAAGTGCTTTGTGTCTGACCCAGGAATCTTCTATCATCCACCAGCATCCATAAAACTGTAACAGACTAACTAATTAGCCCACAAGTGGGGTAAAAGAAAATCCCAGATCCTGACAG